ATGTTTAGGCTAATTGCAAGGTCATACAATCATTTCATGTATTAGTCACTCATAGAGCTATTTAGTGTAATCACATGAAACATGACTTAAGGGCTTGATCATGGGAAGTGACATTCATGAACCATGTTCCATTTGCTAACCTAAGTATTGCCAATATATTTTTGTGACTCATATCAACCATCTACATGTATACACTCATGATCATATGCATATACACATGGAGACATGAAATAATGAGAAAAGTTGCATACATTCAAGGAAACATGCGATAACAAGCAAATGTTGCAGATGTTTCAATCCAATGTTTCAATTGTAAATGCATATATATGAATGCTTGATGATCATGCTCATGTTATGCAAGTCAAGTTATGCAAGGCTAACACTCAAGGTGTTACAGAGTGTTTGGCATGTGATGCCAATTAGCGTGTGAACCTCTAAGTGAGTGAATCGCCACAACGAGGACTAGCTTTCCGGCAAGCAAGTGAACCTTGGTAAAAAATCATTGTGTCATTATTTGATTCCGAGGTGATTGGTCTTCATTGGTATTCATTCTTGTGATTGATTGGTTCATTCCTCGACTCGGCAATATAACCATCTTGTTCTCTCCCTTTACATTACCGTAAACTAGTTGTCAAGCTCTTTAGTGTTGCTAGTCGTGAGAGCTTATTAGTTTGGTTAGTGTGGCTCTTTAGTTAGCCATTGAAAGCAACTAACTTAGTGTAGTGACATAGCCATTGTGTGGATAGAGACTATAGAAACTAGAATTGTAAAAGGTGGCTTGCATTTTTAGTAGGCTAGCACAATACTCGCTTTGCCTCATATTTGTCTAACCGGTTTGCTAAGTGTTGTTGTAGAAATTTTTAATAGGCTATTCACCCCCTCTAGCCATTAGGACCTTTCACCCTCCGACGGGTTCATAGCCACTCTCAGGGCGCCCTTAGAGTGAGGGGTGGAAAGAGATGGGCCCACTAGTGGCCAGTACCAAGGCGAACGAGTGCCGCGGGCATCCCAGCCCACGTTCAAGTCTTGGTCGGTTCCCAATTCATGGTTTTTCCTCGAAGAAAGGCAATAAGCCCTTGGGACCGGTCGAACGGACACGACAACTATATGGATTGGCCACTGAGAATCTAGAGTCGGTCACCAGTGACCCATGCCGGACCCCACGCGAATGGGAAGTTGAGGCCCCACTCGAACTAACCCGTTAACAGCTCACCGAGCACCATGTTTTGTCCATCGAGGAAAAACGTGGCACGGCTCAGCCCCTCTGTTTTATCGAAAAAATGCTTGAGGGATGACAATCACAAAGACGAGCTGACCCCTCGATCAGACCCCTGCAACGCATGGGGGCTCGAGGGAAGTTGGACTCGCAAGGAGACCGAATGCGCGGTCGCAGGACGATGGCTCGGATCTAGGGAGGGTCCTATGCCAGAGGGGCCACCTACTTCTCGATGTCATCCAGCTCGATGTCGGTGTAGACAGGCGCGAGAACTGTCATAGGTAAGGAGGGATACGGAGCTAAAAATGCTCCTATGGCCCATTTAGGACCAGGAATTCGAAGGCTGGCCCATCGATGGGTTCACAGCCGCTCTGGGGCACCCTTAGAGCAAGGGGTGGAAAGGGATGGGTCCACTAGCAGCTAGTACCCAGGCAGACGAGGGCCGCGAGCATCCTGGCTCACGTTTGAGTCTAGGTCGGTTCCTAGTCCATGGCTTTTCCTCGAAGAAAGGCAACGAGCCCTTGGGACCGGTCGAACGGACCCAAGAATGATATGGATTGGCCACCAAGAGTCTGAAGTCAGTCATCAGCTGACCCATGCCGGACCCCCACGAATGGGAAGCCGGGGCCCTACTCGGTCTAGCCGGTTAACAGCTCACCGAGCACCATGTTTTGTTCATCGAGGAAAAACGTGACACGGCACAGCCCCTCCGTTTTATCAAAAAAATGTTTGAGGGATGACGATCACAAAGACGAGCCGACCCTCGACCGGACCCTTGCTACGCGTGGGGGCTCGAGGGAAGTTGGACTCGCAAGGAAACCGAACGCGCGGTCGCAGTACGACGGCGGACCGATCGTATCCTAGGGGATCGGAATCAAGAAAAATCTTTCTGACCTCCCAAATCCTACGGTTACATGCCCCCAAGAAGACCGATCACAACAAAAGAGAATCCCCATCCTACCAGGACACGTCGTGGGCTATAAAAAGAAGGCCAAGGCCCTCAGAGTCCTCTCGTCCGGAAAAGCCTCCAAAGGAGTATTCTACTCATCTGCAGGCTCGGGGGCTACTGTCAGTTATCGATATTAGGGATACCCAAAGCAAGGAAGTTAGCACCCATGCTGACTTCCTCGGATGACTCGAGATGTATTAAAAGGTCTCGCCCAACCCCAAGGCCACGGGCTCCGTCTCGCCCGACCCCAAGGACACGAGCTCCATCACGCCCGACCTCAAGACCACGAGCTCCATCTCGCTCGACCCCTTGGGTGCAGTCTCTATCTCGCCCAACCCCAAGGACGCGGGTTCTATCTTGCCCAAGGCCGCAGGCTCCATCTTGCCCGACCTCGAGGCCGCGGACTCTGTCTTGCCTGACCTCCAGGCTACGGGATTCGTCTCGCCTGACCCCTTAGGTGCGGGCTCTGTCTCGCCCGACATCGAGGCCACGGTTTCTGTCTCGCCCAAGGTCGTGGGCTACGTCTCGCTTGACCTCGAAGACGCAGGTTTCGTCTCGTCCGACAGGGACCCATACCGCCGCCAACCACTCTAGATCCAAGCGTATGGGCCTGGGTCAAAACTCTAACACCAGGGAAGAGGCTGACGCGCCTTGATATAACTCGTGGCCATGACGGGCCATACCTGGAGATTCACATCAAGAACAGTGTCGGACGTATCGGTGCTGTTCTGTCTAACCCTCGTACGGACGCTGACAGACGATGTCCGTCGAGACAGAGTGGAACGCCATGACCGGCATATGACGCCTGCGCATAGCGCCAGTGACGAACAGGACCGCGACGTGGAGCCATCCCTGTTGACATCTACAGGATCAGTGGGACCCGCATGAAGGAGAAGGACCCGGCAACCCTAGAAGCTTTCTTCTCTCTCTCGTTCTTCTCCTTTTCCTCCACTATAACCCGCGCTTTCCCTTCGCCTATAAAAGGGGAAGCAGGGCGCCTCATAAAGGGGGAGAAATCAGAACACAAGAGTACGACAGAAGCACACGGCTGAGCAGCAAGCGAGCTCTCAGCACCTGTTCACTGCTTCTACCAGAGACTTGGGATCCTCTCCCTCTCTCGCCTGTTTGTAACCTCTACTGCAAACCAAGTGCCGGTAACACGAGCAACAGCGAACTGGACGTAGGGACGTTCCATCCAAACTAGTATAAACCCCTGTGTCCTCCGAGCACACCATCCGAGCCAGACGCGCAAATACAAATTTACTCGTCGGTGGTCAAAAACACCGACAATCAGGGTTAGGGAGAGACCGTCGTTCCTTATTCAATTCTAGCTATGCCTACTTTTTTCTTGTCGATCCAAAATAAAATACTTAGGGCTTCTTTGGATGCTAGGAGCAAAAGACACGTGGGTTTCATCCCCCAAGGTGGCGTTTGGATACATGGATATAGGGAGTGGGATAGGGAAAGGGAAATGGATGAACGGCTAGGATTAAATGAGGCGTAAAGATTGGATGGCTAGGATACAATGTTCTCTATCCCTATCCTATCCCTATCCCTATCCAAACGAAACACAAGGGGAAACCCTCCCTTGCAGATGTCACCCCTCTCCCGATGGGTAACAGGAAACCCCCATGGAAAGAAATTCCTGGGTATCATTTGGACATCACAGGGATACAAATCCCGGCCACCCAAAAAAACATTCAAAAAACTTAGAAAAAAATGAAGATTTCAAAATTGCAATTGCAATATGGAAAATCGGTACCATGAATGATTTTTCAATAGTACAATACACGCATTGGATAGAAAAGGTGAATTAATTTACTAATTCTAAACACAAACTTTTCGTCTCATAGGGTAACCAAACAGATCTAATAGATGAGGCGGTATTGGGGTATCCAAAGGAGCCCTTAGAGATCTTGAAAACTAAGTTTAAATGTTGAGTAGATGTTATGAGTTAGCTGTGATCCATTTTTCTTTGATCTAGCATTATATCTCTTGTGGTTTTGTAATTAAAATTTCTTCCCAAAAGGCTATATTTGACTGTTTAGCCCCAAACGGTTTTCAAAGACATGAAAAAAATCATCTAAAATCAAGATTCAAAAAAAAATATTTTATCATGCGATTTCCCATCATAAGTATTATGGTGAAAACAAAAGTTCTTTGACAAAGCATATACCAAAAATAAGGTTTTAAATTTGAAAATAAATTCAAAAGCATTCGAAACATGCTTAATTTTTTTTCATAAGTGCGTATGATGCACATGTATACGCTTCCATAACTTGCTTAGAATTATTTGGGCTGTTATAATTATGCATTTGCCTATGTTTTTGCATGTACAGATATAAGTATTTGTAAAGAACGAAGGCCATGATTCCCCTTGAAAATTTCAAATAATAGAGATCACTTTTATATAAAAAATAGAGAGCGTACTGTACCTATTTTGAGGATCTAAATAATTTTAGAGAGCCAGTTTAAAGATCCAAATATCCATACGGTATGGAATTGTTCTTCAGGCTTGGTCGAATATACAGTAGAGCATATTTCAGAAACTGAACTGCTACATTGAGGAATTGATGTATGCGATAAAAAAAAATTGGCCAAGATTTTTCTGTCCCTCCTTCAAAACTTCTCTATCGGTTCTACAGATATGTACACAGTTAGCAATTTACTCCAGTTTGACAGGATCACACTAATACAAAGTGATGTACAATGCCAGGAGAGGAGAGATCTCGCCTTCGCAGGGGGTAAAAAAATACAGAACATCTACAAAGAGAACCGCCTGGTCACAGTGCCAAACTAGCTGCAAAACTGCTGATGCAAGGCCTCATCGCTTCCTCAGACATCACCTCTTCCCTGAGTGATGAATCGTTTCCTCGGCTGTCTCCCCCATGCAGAGGTGTCCAGCAACGTCATTGATATTTGAACTGTCCTTGCCTCCACTTCACCGTGACTACTACCAAATTCAGCACGGTGATCCCGAGAAACAGGGTGTCTCTCAGGTTTCCTGTGATATGCGCCTTTGACTGAATCTTTCCAAGTCAAGCAAACTTCTACAAAGGCAAAGCATAATGCTGATGCCAAGACATTATCAGCCTTGACAACGAGTGACAGTCTCCGAATCGCAATTGCAAATGACCTACATAGTTGCCACAGATCAATAACACAGTTCATCATCAGACCTCAGTTGGCTGGTGTTCCATAGTGCTTCAGGGAAATTATCAGTTAGAACTTAACTCACATGTCATGAGTGTAAAGCAGCTACTCATTTGAATAGGCCTCTGTAAAATCTTTAATCCTTTGCTTAATAATCTGGGGTAACAAAAACAAGGAAATTAGAAAGCAGATAACTAGAATGGTAGCCGAAGTAGAATTTGGTATAATCAGTTGCATAGTAAACTATTACTCATGAGATCACACACCTGCAGTTCCTCATGAAGCAAAACGAAGACCTTCTTCATCAATTTATGCCTCTGCAGGAGATAACATTCACAATCACACTTCAGGGCTTCAGTAATTAATCAAGAGTTAAATAAATAGTGGAGTTGTTTAATAGTATCCCTTAATAACCCCAATAGCGGAGTTATTTAATAGTTATTTGTTGGATAAGGAAGCATGTAGATAGAAAACTTTTAAGACAAGAACACAGAATGAGGACCATTTGGTCCCCCCTTCAGGCCATGAAAAAGAAGGGATTCATGTTAAGTATATTGGTAGGGAAGGCAGAAAGCATACTGCTCCTGACTCGCGATACATGTCTCTGAGTCTTTCCACGGTGTTATAATACTGTTCCTTGTCTCTTTCTTTCGCAATATTGAGATCATCCTGAACCTTTAAAAATTCCGACCTGCATTTCAAAAAAAGAAAACAGTTCCAGGAGATTGTTATGTTATGGACTAACGGAAAGAAAAATGAAGTGCAGAAAGATCTTCAAACCACGTACTTAGTTTTGTCTATCTGACTGTTCAAGTAAGAATAAACCCCATACTTCTCATTGTACTCCTGCACATAATCTTTGTATCTGGAAAAGAATATAATCAATGGGTTGTACGCATCAAAAACAAAATTTATTTAGTTTTTAAAAAACAACAGAAGTTATTTGGAATTAGAAAACTGACAGCTAAGAGCTTCAACAATTTGCATTTAAAGAACAATTAAATTATACAGACACCTTACTGAAATGTAGGAATGATCATACTACCTATAGTATTTCAGACAACACAGGCAAATTAAAAGAGCCTATAGAAAATACCTCAAGCATTGGGACACTGGTCAAAGTGTAAACAGTTTTAAGAGTAAGGGGGCAGGTCAGAGGCATTACAAATTTATATATTGTTGGTCCAGGCCTGCTGATATAATTAAATCATTCTCAGATTTGTACCAGTAGAAATGTCTAGAAGGTAAGCTGGACACAACTTACTAATTGAAAGATCTGTAGGAATATCCAAGATCATATCAAATAGTTCGAGAGCAGGATAAGTCAGTCTATCAGCATACTTATAGCATAGCAAAAAGTAGAGGAAAAGTTAAAATGTACTAAACAAAAATACTTCAAGGAGATATAAAACTGACATTGTGGAGGATATTGGAACTTACTGTGAGAAATCTTTTATTGGACCTTTAAGTTCAGGTGCATCTTTATCATACTTGGAGAAAAATAAATTATCATCATCTGAAGAACTGTCCTTCCTCTTCCTACCTGTCTCTGTCTCAATCAAAGAGTTGTTCCTACTTCTTTCCTCATTATCTGATGGGGATATAGATTTCTGCATTCGAGACACTATGACATTATTAGTACCATTCTGTGGAAGCCTTGAGGTTGATTTCTTCTTCTGCATATCAGCATACTCTAGCATTCCACCATGTGCCATCCTAGTTTCCCGTTTGCTTGTTTTTTCTCCTGACCTATCTGGATATATTACGTTCTCAGAATCTGAATTATCAATCCTTGGCAAATGCTGGCTGTCTGGAAAATTCTCTCTTTGCTGAGGCCTATTATCATCAAACTCATACCCTGCTGCCTTCCTGGGAAACCCTTCCTGGTTTATATGGCCTCCAATTCCATATTCTTGAGGTGAAGGTTTCCTCTTATCATGAAAGACGGTTGCTGGAGCCTTCCTGTCATTCATACTGGGGAAGGAGTTATTTACACTAGTTAATTTAGCATCAAGCGACTTGGAGGAACTATTTCTCTCAAATTGCTTCCTTATCCTTCCATCGTCATTTTCCAAAGAAGTCTCGCGAAGTTCCCCCAACTCAAGATCAGAAAGCTCTCTCTGGAGCTTTTTTTTACCATAAGGTGATCTCTCAACATTATCTCTTTGTGAATTTGATGGCTCACCATTACTTTCGTTAGATTCAGGAAAAGCAGTTATCTCATCAGGCACAACAATTTCTCTGGAACTTTTGGTTAAATTCATGGAATTTACATTGACATTAGCGTCCTTCGAACGCTTAAGCATTTTATCATCAATAAGAGGATTCCCATGTCTACTCCTTTTTCTTGTGGAAGAATCATCAGAGCCATCAAAATTGGCATGGTGATCTACACCATGTGAATAACCTGGCCCAAAGTTGCCATCCGTACCATGCCATGGTTTCTGCATCTTATCTGATTTTTTCTTCGAACTTGATTTCATAGTATTTTCTTTCGTTCTCTCAGAGTGCATTGTTGGGACAGGTAAATTTGGGCTCTGATCTATCCTCTGTAAATTCCCAGGAGCCGAAGGTCTTCCTTTCATGGCAGGACTGCCATCTCGTGAAGCATCGCGGCTAACATTCCCTGTCTCCTTGTTCAACCTATCATTGGTATGTTTTTCAGGGGGTAAACTTCTTTTGTGCTCTGATAAAGAACCTATTGGCGATGCTATGTCAGCTTTGACCTTTTTGGCACTCTCAGGCTTTGCTGTGGAGTTCTCACTACCAGAAGACCTTTTTAATTTGGGTTTGGGAATACTCACTGGGCCGAGTTTTGATTCATCCTTTGATGTTGATTTTCTCTTGTTGCCATGCTGTGCTGTCAATTGACCAGCCTCCCCCTTGGGTGAGTTTTCACTGGCTGTTCTCAAGGAGTCATCAAAAAGGTTGTCCAGAAAAGACATTTCATTATACTTGTTATCGCCTCCGATAGAATCCATTCTGGTGCTCGTCATGTTCTTGCTTCCCGGCATTTCAGATGGCTTGTTCAGGTTGCCAGCACTAAAGCCCTCTGCTGCTGCATCATCATTGCCGGTATTAAAATTATTCAGATCAATATGGGGTGATGTACTCCTGTAGTCCAGATTTGTTCCAATGTCAATTTGTTCATCATCAACATCGAGTCTTGTCAAATCTCTTGGTGATGAAGACAAATTAAGGTCATCTACTACTTTTGTATGTGCTGTATTTGCTTTGTCATCATCACTTGTAATATCAACAATTGCATCAGATCCTTCCTTGCTGCTTGATGAGGCATCACTGTCACTATCGCTGCTGCTCCCACTACCAGTTTCCGCAGCACTTCTGCTTTGGCTCCCACTATCACTTCCACTGTCACTGCTGTCACTATCACTATCACTATCACTTCCACTGTCACTGGAAGTTCCAGCCTTACCTTCACTGTCATTACTGAGTTTTCCATTTGTTGCAGCAAGTGGGGAGCCAACAATGTCAATCCTCTCACATATATCAGGATCATCAATCTTAAGGCTTGGAGCAGATTCCTCAATGTTCTCACTGATGGATCTGCTGGACACAGCAATAGATGTATGTTAAAGCGCTATGGTAGAATTACAGACATATAGGGATATAATTGTCCAAAGCTGCAGAAGGAACATAATGAAAACCATGTTCTGCGAGATCAGAGAGAGAGAGAGAGAGAGAGAGAGAGTGGGGGGTGGAGTGAGGGAGAGAGAGGAAAAGGACCAGAGCTTAGACTTAAACGAGAAAACGATAATACCTTACTCCTTCAGATGCATGCCTTTTAGAGCTTTCTAACTCCAGCCCTGGTTTGAGAACATACCTCTCAGGTCCTTGGTAATTTGCAATCTGAAAGAACATCCAAATGTCAAGTGAGTTTACTCCTTATTCCTTAAAAATTTCCTAATTGGGAAAGGACATGGTAAAAAAATGTTTGATTACTCACATTCTTGACGATGCTCTCTATTTTCTTTGATGCATTTGGAAATGCATCTGCAGCAGCTTTCTCCAAGGCCTGCATATGATTCATAACATGTGAGCACAAAATCAGACAAATCTTTGTGGAATACTAAGTGAAATATGCAATTTAAAAATCAGGGGGAAAGAATAATGGAATATAACCTCCATAAGCATCTACAAAGTATGACAAAAAAATAAAGTTGTTACTGTACATAACAAACAAAAAACATTTGCCGTGTATGATTGAACAAACAACTGTTACTGTGCACTATGTTCAAAAGGTAAAAGATAAATAATCAAACCACAAGATCGAGATACAATGCCACTTGATGAAAGCACCAAGATACAAATGGATTTGACAGCCAAAGGAAAAGGCAACAAACTCTGCAGAACTGTAAGTTCCAACATCTTCAACATTAATAAGGTATGAGTCTTTACAAAGAAGTGCAGAAGTTTCTGAGTACTTCTCCCATTTGCACATGAACTTGATTAGTATCATGTCACCCATGCTCAGAGAGATAAAGAGAGATTTATTACCTTTAGGCCCATTCCTTTTGGATTTTTTGAAAGCATAGATATCAAGTAGCTTCTCACTTCATTTGTATTATCATCCACATTTGCAGCATGAGAACTTGCTCGGTGGTTTATACCTTTGTTAGACATCTTACTTGCAGCTGATTTCTCATATTTACTGTTTTCCCCTTTGTTCAAATCAAAAGGTGTTATGACTTCATTGTTTGCATCTGATCCAACAGGAAATGAAGGATTGCTTGCTCCAGGTTGTTCAGGAGAAGGTGCAGGTGAACTTGAGATATTCCCTTTGGGAATATTGTTAGATAACTTCACCTTGGAAACTGATTTAGTTGGGGTGATAACAGCAGCTGAAGCAGGCGAATAAACGATACACAGAGTTAAACATAAACAAATAAAACAAAGAAAAATATGACCCAGCAGGATTCGAACCTTTATTCTTCCTTAAAAATTCATTCTTCTGCTTCCAGTGCATCCTCCGCGGATTACCTGGAAGAATAAGAGAAGTAAATTGTAATTACAGCCACTAACATTAGCCAATTGAGAATTGGTATTTACTACTGCACATAGAAAATTCTGACATAGAATAATCACACAGCAATGTGCATTTCTATTATGAATGCAGAATCCAGGTAGAGATCATAAACTTGTAATATAATGTTGAGAAAGGAAACATGAGGCATAGTTGAAAGGAAAGACCTTCTACAGCTGCAGCAGCCATCGACTTGGCCTGACTCTTGACAGATGGATTGGCAGGGTCCAGCACGATTGATCTACAGCCAGAAAAGTTAAGAGGATATATAAGCGGTTGAGAAGAAAACTACAATATCATAAAACAGAAATTTTTTGAAATCCTACATATCAGGATTATCATAAATCAATAGAAACCAAGAGGATTATAGAACAGGGAAAGCAGACAAACTTCCGAGATTTTGAGAGACGTTCAGCCTCCTCTGAGCGCATTTTCACAAGGTTCTTTGTTGATTCATCCAAAATGCGCTGCACATTCACCTTGCGCCAAGCAGAGCCACACTCCAGAAGCAAACCATTTCCATCCTCTCCACTCTGACGTTCTTCATAAATATCACACAATTCGTCACGTTCAGATGCCCAGGTGAATTTGAATTCTTTACCACTAACATCTATAACCTGGCGCAGGAAAAGAGATTTGAGTACTCCAATTGAAACACTAAATGTACAAGCGCAATCATCATGTTGAAAAAAGTTCTCATGTCAAACAAATCTAGTTTGGACCCAGTAGGGCAATTTAACTAAGCACTGTAAAAAAGGGCGTACCCAGTGCAGAGAGCTCCCGCTCTGTGCAGGGTCTAGGGAAGGGTGTAACCTTGAAATTCTTTAAAGCATCCTTCACTCAGCCTCCAAAATTTCAGTGTGGGCTGGACGTTCAAGACAAAATGAATAGGCCTATTCTATGTTGTTTCAGCAGTACTGGTCACAATTGTTGGTGATTCCATATATATTATATGTAAAAATAGGCAACTCGTAAAACACAAGGAAAAAAATGCTAGGAGAGAGGAGGACCCATCCAATCTATGCAGGCCAGATGGGTCTGCTAATACTTCAGGGCTGAGATTTCAACTCCTGATCCACAGTACAAAGCTAATTGAAATATGACACTATTGTGCTAGATTAGGTCTGGATCACCATTAAGGGAAGATTTTCAGCAGTTCTTATAACAGATTAGAAGTCCAAAGTCATCCAAAAGTAACAACACCAAATCAAATACCATGTAAGAACTAATTGTACAACATATACAATGAAAATGTGGACACGGAACAAGAAAATTAACTGAAAAGAATCATCAAATAAGCAATGTGCTAATATGGAACAAGAAATTTTGCTGAACTGAAAGATTCATCAAATGATAAATGTGCTTGTCCCAATCAGCCTAAAATAAATAAGAATAGCCAGAAGTCTAGGACCATAACGCATGGGAAAACGCAAGATTCCTGAGGAAATCGCTAAGCAAAGTCCCAACCAAACAATACAAATGTCCTATGAGAATGTAATAAACATTCCACTTTGCCCCGACAAATCAAAGTAAGTGCAAAGTAAGCAACGGTGTGCCTTGAAATGGGAGCATAGGGCACAGCAATGATATGAAGGCTTGAATTACAAATTACTAAACCAAATGCCGTTTGACCCATCTAAATCATATACACTGAGACAGGAGCAATTCAAGCTCGCTGTACGAATCAAAATACCCCAAGACCATCACACGAGATGAAAGAGAATCATCATTAATCCTAGAAGGACACCTAACAGATCATCGAGCCCTGACAATCCAAACTATCTCGCCAGTACCATGCTTAAATTTGATTGGCGTGAATGCAAATTACAGGAACTCACTCAAACCCAGTAAAAGTGCCAAAAGAAGGAAAACAACTTACCAGGATATACTGTATATTGATAAAAACTAAAAAAGTATCTAAATTTGTTAGGTTAAAACTTAAGAGGAACTCAAAAGGGACAGACAGAGCTAAAAGCTTAGAGGGTGAGGGAAAGCTCACGTTTTCCGACGAGTTGCGCATGTTAGGGTTGAACTTGATGCGTGCGCCTCCACCGGCCTCCTCCGCCCGCCGGATCTCGTCGACGAGGTCGGGTGTTAGCCGTATTATAGCCGCGAAGGCGGGCGGCCCGCTGGACTCGAGGCGGAACGCCTCGTCGCGCCCCGCAGGCTGCGTCGCGGCTGCGGCGGCGGCGCGACCGCGGGGAGGCCCGGCCATCCCGCCGATAGAGGAGGCGCCGCCTCTGCCGCGGCCGTGGGGGGGCGGCGGGCGCTTTGCAGCGCCGCTGCCGCCGCGCCCACCGCCACGGCCGCCGAGCTTGTACATGGCCCGCGGCGAGCGGCGGCGCCGGCACGAGGGTTGGTCGTACCGGGGCTCGCTGGGGTAGAGTAGCGAAAACGCCGAAGAAGAGGGCGAAGAAATCGTATGAAATTTGCCCCCTTTTTTTTCTTTTTTTGGTTGGGTTTCTCTTCTGTATTTCCTGCCAGAGTGTTTTTTCCCCTTCCTTCTCACCTTCTGTAATCTGTACCCTGTTTCTGACCAGGATACAAATAGAAATCAAGATTCAAGAGGCATATACTTGTACGTATAAAGAAGTTATATTTCCATCTGGGAAAAAGACACGGCAGATAGGTCAAATGGGATGTTATAGATATTGTTTTTCTAAATGCTAAACGGTTAATATATAATCACTTACTGTTTATCTATTATTCAAACTAATAAAGTGTTTAGACAGACTAAACAACCAATTAGACTGAATAAATAGCTGATTGAATGAAAACCATGTACCACTATATAGTGTTTACATGGTGCTTTAAATAGGCTAAATGAACAGTGCGTATATTTTGGTGGGAACATATCCAAATCATATAACGAAAGTTTGTTTCACATGAGACGAACATAAAAATACAAAATACAAAATATGCTGCAAACGGTATGTATTTGCCAATACGGGTGACTTCAATTGAGTTTATGTGAAGCAAAAAGCTATACACATACGTACCTACTTATATCTATGTATGTGCTGCTGCTCTGTTAACTTTACATCCTTTATCATATATGATTTGCCATTAATGTCTTCTAGACTGCAAGTAATATTATGTCAGGCCTCGGTTCGAAAAAAGATTAGTATCATGTGTTGGCGACCAGCGGATGCCGCGCCGCGCCGCACCCTCCGCGCCGCAGTTGCCTCGTGTGTTTGCTTTGCTGCCCCGTTTGCGGCTGCCGCAGACTCGCCCGTGCTCGTCCAGTTCAATTTGGCTGCCAAATCGTGCCACAATTGCGGCGGTCGTTTTCTGCGCCGCACATTCGGCAAGCCAGAGACTCGGCACGGCTTCTTTTGGACACCCGTCCAAATAGGCCCTTAGCAACAAGCCTTCATATATGAATATGAAAAAAAAAACTCAACCTACGGTGGGTAAACAGTCCCCGCAACTTTACGCTTAAGGAAGAAGATCTTCTCACGCAGACCGAGAAAACCCCTGAACACCGTGCCCTGCCCTTACACAGGGGCCAGAAACCCTGTGAGTGGGACGGTCCATTACCTGTGCTTTGGGAAACTCGGGACAGGCGAGGGGATTTTTTTTAACTTCGGTAGGCGAACGAGCGCACCCGTGGGGGCTCGAACCCTGCACGCGAGAGTGTCGACCGGACATCCTGACCAACCGGTACGAGAAGCCGTTGGCCATACATGAATATGTAAAATAAAATTACGAGACATCTCTTTTGTACGCATATTTAGAAGAGGGACAAGTTTAATGAAATATGGCCTTGATTGTAGAACATTACATATTTTACTTTTTTCATGAACATATTTAACCCCGCAGGTCTTTCACAAGAAGAAAGAGTTTTGATAAAACCCTACAGCAACCTGCAGCATACATGGATAGACGAGGGCAGACCGGGTAGAGGTAGGAAGCCCTAGAGTAGTAGAAAAACTTTGACAACCGAAACAAAGGCATACAGTGGTGAAACATTACAGATGACGTGGCACGGGAGACCCTAAATTTTATTTTATTTTATTTTTTAATATATAGTTTTTTCTATACACCTATATATAAATTAAATTTAAATAAATTTATAGAAGTCAAAATAATTTACAATTTGGAACGAAATAGAAGCGTTATTATATCAATGCTACGCGTACATTTGTTTCTTTTAAAATTTGGCATGGGCATTGCGTATCGTATTGTATTGTATTGTATTGATCAACTGACCATATGGCACTGGCTAGTGGATATGTTACTGTGAGTATGTTATCAAGTCCTCGTCAAGCTAGCAAACTTGTCATCATCAGTATATAAACACAAGGAACATATCACGTGGGCCACAACACGCGAGTTGTTGTTATGACCCGTCATCAATCAAATATAAAAAAAAAGGAGAAAATGATCAGCACTTGCAAAAAGAGGAGGAAAGCAACTTCGTATCGCTGTGCTTCATCTCAATCCTCCTCGAGTCAAGTAGTAACTACTACTGTACCTTGGGAAAACCACAGCGATTCTGATTTGCGAAGCGAGTACAACCTTACTTGTACCTTGTCACGCGTCCGAGGCCGCAGCTACGGACCGCGACTTGTCACCCAGCCCCCCGGGCCGGGCTCGGCGATAGCAATCTTCTCTCGACGGAGAAAGGCCAAACAAGTCGGTGAAACTTATCCGCTCCCCGTGCCAGCATCCGTTGCGTTGCGTCCTTAGCCAGCCTGTTTAACATCGCCGTTCCGGCTTGCGACGTCACGACTGGCTCGGGCGCATGACACCACATGGGTGGCATATCCTTTGGCTCCCTGTAAAAAGCTCGGATCCTACTGGTGCCTGGACGTGGACCTTCTCTTCAGAAAAAGGAGCCTCAAGCATATCATTTTCCTCTGCAGTCACCTTTTCCTCCTCTTCCCAAAACTCACTCCCCAACTTCACACCACCCCCTCCTCCTCTTCAGCATGCTTAATTCTAATATGTGGCCCTGTTCATTTCGCTGAAATCTGACTTTTGCTGATACTTATACTGATTTATTGTGAAAGAAAAACACTATTCATTCGCTGAAAAATACTGCAGAAGTCCGTACGCACGACACCGCATGGGTGGCGTATCTTTGGCTCCCTGTAAAAAGCTCGGATCCTACTGGTGCCTGGACGTGGACCCCCTTCCAAAAGCGGGAATGCTTGCTCGCGCTGACTCGCGAGGCGTGTGCTGATACCTCCTGATGCCCGGTGGAGTCACGAAACGGCGAAAGGCCCCGCCGGCGGTGTGCCGGTGCTACGGCATACGGCCACGCACGTACGTTTCGATCGCGGCTCCAGTTTTTTTTTTCTTCAGTTCAGAAGAAGAAACAGCTACCGTCCTACCGACCCAACGAGATGTACTCGTGTACATGTACCTATATATACCTTGAAAAATCAACGCAACGATGCATTGAGGGTGCTTTCGGGAGGCTGTTAACGGCAAATGCCAAACCCAATCGCAAGCGTAAAAGCCTAAGCTAGTGCGTGGTGGCTGATGACGAGAAAGCACGCAACGAGCAGGTGCTGCTGGCCGATGACGTAACCGGATAATGGATCGCCGCAAGTGGCAAAAGCATCGGCCTGCCTTTCGCTCCCACTTTCCAGAGAAGGTGGCCTTTTGGTCACAAGTACGGATGCCAAGCGCTGAAACGCATTATGCTGCCTATGCAAGTGGCAACTCGCCATCCTAAAGAGTCATTTGCGAGCTACTCGCCATTATTCACCCCGAGCAGTAGAGACGAGCAGCCAACGTAAACGAACATGGATTATAAACCAAAATAATATTTTTCTCTCACACTAAATCAGGCAGCAGTAATAATCGATGATCGTTTCAGCAAAAACGAACAGGATGCAGATGGGAAATATATTCAGATATTCTGGTGTTCAGTTTCAGCCACGCAGGGAACATGAACAGCTGAGCTTTGTTTTCCGGCCGACCGGCCCAGTTGCCAGTACAAAGTACGTAGTACAAGCGGCGAGACTTGTACCCAGCAGATCAGGATCGCGTACTTGCTTCCCGTACAGTGCAGGGGCATATGCCAAGATCGCGTGAACAACCGATTTCGTGTCGGATGTTCCTTTCGTTCGTTCGTGGGACTAGCAAGACCGGACTGTTCATGTGCTGCTCACCTCGAAGAGAACCTGAGGAGCATGTTGGTTCGGTGGTTCCTCGAGGCGGAGGTCGGGCTGGAATCACCATCAGTCATCACATCACACGCGTGTTCGAGTGCTGCTTGGCGTTAGGCCACACAGTGCTCTTTTATATATAAAAAAAAAAAAAAACAAAGAAAGAAGCGTTAGCCAAGCCAACACAGGCACACAGCCAGCCTGCAGTGTTTTGTTCACTGCTCGTTCGCACCAAGACAATCGACAACCGTGTTTTGTCCCAGCACAGTTAAAACACGCGCTGTTTTATACTCAATAATATAATTCCTTCTTAACACGGTGGTCTCCACGATCGACTCCGCTGTCGGAAGCCACCACGTTCACCTTCAGATTCAGCGCCACGCCGGCCGGTGGGAAACAAGATCACACCAAATCAAGAAGAAAATAAGGGCGGGTGGAATGGCACAAATTAACAACAGCACGCGGCAAGCACTCGGCGTGGATCATATCCCAGTTGCAAGGTACACAAGTCGGCATCGGTCTTTAGGACAGTCACATAATAAATGCCTTCGTTTCCACGACCACCCCAGTATTTTAACCGGGCAAAATTGCAGGGCCTGTTAAGATCCTACCCTCCCCTCCTGCCCCGGCCGCGCCCACCACAGCCAGCCGCCACGGCCGCCTCCCCTGCGTCCTCCTCCTCCTCCTCCCCGCCCCCCACCGCCGCCACCCTTGTGGTGGCCACCAGACTTCTTGCCATTGCCGATCTTCATGTCCTCAGGGAGAGGCAGTATGTTGTCCACACATTTGCGGAAGCTGAAGTCATCCACGGATCCATCGATCCTGCAGACAAAGAAGCAGCGGCTTTGCCACACCGGGTGGTTGCGTATCTCAAATGCTTCGACTCCTGCCCCAATCTTTTAGCAGGTTCAGCATGGCCTTTCTTCAGCAAATCCTCCAGCACCATTTGCTCATACTGCAAAAGTTGAGATGAAAATAAGAAACCCAAGTGTCCACGAGCAGATATTAATGACGGCTATGGGTTTATTTATGGAGGTTGACTGGGGGTTTCAACTCTGGAGATCAATGACGCTACCTTCGTGGTGCATAAGGTCAAATCACCTAGTGGGCACTACATAGATAGCAATCATTTTCAACAGCACAACAGCCAACTAACAGATGCTTCCATCATTCAACTTAATGTAGGCCGGCTTCAGGAAAACTAGACTACAGTCATGTTAAAAAGTCATCTACTTGACTTTTAAGTGCTACCACAGCCGCAGTTCACTTAATTTTTGCTTTAAGCACCACAAATATAGTAAACAGGGTGAAAATTACAACTCAAAACACAAGTTATAAAGAATACAGACTTAAAACAAACATGAAAAGTTATAAGTTAAAAAAAGATCACCAGCACTATACCAGAAAAATTAGTATAACTCTTTCCATCTACGATATGTATATCACGGAAGTAATGAGATCCAAAGTATCCATATTGTCTAAGATCATCGACTGGAGATCTCGTTAAGGTTAGCAATGCATAAGCAAGAAAAAGGGAACAAACCATCCTTCTAGTACAACATATGTGTTCCAAAACTGGAAGGAATAAGTAAACAACAATGCTACGAGCCTAGGACAGTGATTCATGATTTTGTGGATAGCTCAAAGCTATCAACAGCAGAGTTTTCTTACTCAAACACCAGAAAAGCACTTGGAACTCCAGACTGAAACTGCAAGCCCCACTAAGCATGTTATAAGTGAATCAAATAGCAAATGATGATTAAGATCTCAAAGCTGTGCTTCTTGTGACTGTGGTAGCGATGTTAAACATGAATGAAGATTAAACATATTTACATATACATAGATCTGAACACCATGGAAAAGGAGTATTAATACATGCACCCAAAAACATTATAATTATCAGAGCTGATCAAACATAACATGGAGACTCACATGAAACCCTAATGAATCAAGCCAAATAAGCATGTAGGTCCCCATTTGGCCACAAGTTTAATCCAAAACTTGATTTAACAAATCATACTAATCACAGGAAACTCAAACAAAGCTAAGAAAAATGAACCATCCAAGCAAACAGAATGAAAACGATAATACTTGCCTAGCAATAACAGAACTTGAAAACCAAACTGCATCATGGCACAAATAAGCAAACCACTAAGAGTAAGATCTTTTCTAGTGCATTCATTTCCATAGCTATGATTGATGAAGACAGTGGAGCTGGAAGGCGCAGGACACAATGCAGGATCCAACTTATAACCCTTCAGAACAAACTAATCAAGTAATTGCGAACTCACAGCCTTAAAGAATGGATTTGTCAATTCAAACAAATATGATGCCTGCAGTGAACTGATGTTTGAGAGCAAACTTGTCTAGTACAAGTAAATGCACTCCCCGAACTCACTGAAGCTTGTGAAATTTACCTAGTGCTACCAGCTTGTTACTACCGCAGCATGGCAGCAATTTATCAGACCGAACTAGACTCCACCACGCATATCAGATAAAGCTAAAGGAAGAATCTTCTTCGCAACCAAGATAATCAAACGCTAACCCTCACCTTATTGAACTCAAGCTGCGGCGTCCAGGAGTGGAGCAGAGCGAAGAAGTAGTCGAACATCTCGACGGCCGAGGCGAACTCTTTCGGCCCCAGCTTCACAGGTTTGCCATTCGCTTCCACTGCCTTCTCCTCATTCGCCTCCTCTGCCTTCCCCTCCTCCACCTCCTCTGCCTTCCCCTCCTCCGCTTCCTCTGCCTCCTTGGCCTCCTCCTCCACCTTCGGCTTCTTAGCCGCCGCCGCCTCGCCGCCATCAGCAGCAGGATCACCTCCTTCCTCCCGCTCCCTCTTCTGACCGGCTGCTGCAGGCGCCTCGGTTTCCATCGCTGTGGCTGCGGCTGTGGCTGCGGCCACCTCCACCTCGGGTTCAGCCATGGCCGGAGAAGCGCGCAAGGTCGAAGCGGAGCTCCAACTGTCGGCGCTGGCGGTGGATGCTCCTCTGGTTCGAGTAGGGTTTGGGGCTCGGGAGTTCCGTCCGAGGAGAGAGGGGTTAAGAAGACGCGAGTTGCGCCGTTGGGCCGAATGGCTTGCTGAAAGCCCAATAGTGGCCCATTCAAGCCCGCCAGAGCCCAAGAGAGGAGCAAGTAGGAATCGGGTTCGCGAGCCACCAAGGCAAGGAAGGGATGCGCTTTCCCGACGGCAAGGCGTACATAAGCGGCTATCGAAGCTACCGGAGATGCCACTCCCTGCGCCGTTCCGGGTCTTCTCCCCACCCTCCTCCGCCTCCTCCGCTGCCGCCAGCCCCGCCGGAGCGCAGCGCTCGTTGCTCTACGGGCGCCGCTCGCCGCTCGCGGGAGCGCTCTTGTTCTTCAGCATCGGCGCCGTCAGCGCTGCGGTCGCCTGCAGGACGGGGTGCTCCATCTCCCACCGACGCCTCCCCTTCCTCGGGTAACTTCCCCGTCCCTCTGTCTCTCTTGAACATTTTGGCTGATGCGAGGAAGGCATTCGCATTCCCATGGGCCATGTGTTAGCGAAATTTGGCGCTGCCGCAGTTTACTGAGTACATTAGTCTTTAACGTGGATTGACTTTGTGGAATCACATACCTGTACTCCAGTACTCCCTGTTTCAGAAAGCGGGTGCTACGCGGAGCTTGCCTAGAAGGCTAGAACCTTGGCGTTTTCACACCAAGGGTGGCTTAGAACTTGATCTATGTATGAAAGTGAGTCCTTATCTAAAAAAATGTATGAAAGTGGGACAAATTAGAGACGGATGAAGATGAATCATGGTCACAGAACTCATGGATGCATTAATGTTAAATTCTTTTTTGTGATTTTGGAAACATTACTTTAGAGTAACTATGTGATATTTGTCATTTGTGAGGATTTGTAAGATCATATGTAGTACCATTGCACAGTTTAGATGGCACAATGCCTGTTTTGAGTTCTGACGCCCATGCTACAATTGAACTAATGAATTGCTAATGAGAGTGTAGATTATGTGAAACTGTTGTTCATGTGGTTGCATGATGCTGTGAAAACCTTGGAGGGCAGAAATGCTGGGTCTTATGTCTGTCATAGTTTCTACAAGCACATGTAGTGACTCCAAGATCGAGAAACTTCAATGATGTAAATTTTTGCAGGGTAAGAGGTCTCAGTTCTACTCGAATGGAGTCCGCTTCCACCACAGTGCCATCCATTGTCGTGTATGTGACAGTTCCAAACAGAGAAGCAGGTAACTGGTGCCTAACTTTCTGTGCTGTTAATGTTTCCTTTACCACTTTGAATCCTTGCTAGTCAATCTGTACAATTCTCTCCAATGAGAAAGCAGACAGTTTAGTACCTTTTAGCTGGTGAGCGTCCAATATTTGTCCACTTGATTAGTGTTGTTCTTCTAAGGTTTTGCCTTTGTTGTTATTATTGTTGCATATTTTTTTCTGTGTATATTCTGGCTTTTGCTTTAGTTGTCTTAAATAACTTGTATCACATCTATCGCAGGCAAGAAGCTGTCACACAGCATCATCAGCGAGAAGCTTGCTGCTTGTGTCAATATAGTGCCTGGTTCGATTTCAGTTTTCTCATTGCTTTTTTTTTGACAAATTTTGACATTATGAACGCAGTGCACAAGAAAATGCTATTGCTCATTTTTTTTCAGTTATTTATTTTCCTCAAATGGAAAATTTTATCCTGTGGAAATAATGATAACAGCACCGGGAAGATCTAGATCTACTTATAGTATAGTTCCTGAGGGGCAAGGAGAGTCTTGGGCTCTTGATCTCCCAAAAAATAATATTTTTACTGAATATTAAACACTAAATATTCCCATTTCTGAATTCTTTGGTAGGTTTCCCTTTAAGTTGTGCCAGGTGATGTAAGGCTATGATACATCTGTAATAAGATGAGCTTGATAACTCTGCATTGTCAATATAGCCTGTAAGAACTAAACTGTGGCATAGGCACATAGCTTACTGAAACGATTAGCTAGATTCACACGTTAAATATAACTTTGCATATCTAGTTCAAGCGGGCAAGAGTTAAGGCAGCCATAAACTGAAATGAAGAGTACAATTTTGAAGAAAAAAAAAAGAGCCCTCCTGCCCATACCGCCATACAAGAATTACCAGTAGAATATATAATTTGCTCGTTGCTGTTCATTTGAGTGGTTATTATGAATATCTTACTCTGTGTTGTTTATACAAGTTTTGGAATAGAATGTGCTCTTTTCTTTGAAGTGGTGAAATATACTGAAGTCCCCCATACCCTTTTCAGGCATTGAATCCGTTTACTGGTGGGAGGGAAAGGTATGGTGCTAAGATTTGCATGCAGACTAAATTTGTAGACCTTCACTTGTACTTATTTGTTATCCCAAACTTTCTAAAATTCCTCTTGAAAAATCCCTCCCTGCTTATCAAACTAAGCATATCTGATCAAGAAGCTGCCCTTTTTCAGGTGCAATCTGATACTGAGGAATTGCTCATCATCAAGACCAGGGAATCACTTCTGGATGCCTTGACTGCACATGTCAAAGCCAACCATGAATATGAGTAAGCTTAATTTAGCTTACTGATGCTGTGTGCATTGAACGAAGTACATGTGGTATGCTATCTTGTTCTGGGATTTACGTGTTACTCGTCCATGCAGTGTTCCTGAAGTTATTGCTCTACCCATAACTGGGGGTAACACCAAGTATTTGGAATGGCTCAAGAACAGCACTAGGGACAACTGATCTCTTTTAGTGCTCGAAATAATGCAAAGATCAAAGTGCCCAAGAATATGAAGTGACTCCTCTGTTCTTCCAGTGGCTTGCACAAGGGAGTTTCCTCTCTTGACCTGTATATCAGTTACATCGCTGTACCAAATCCATGTTTACCATCATCTGGTGACAAATGATTTGGTGTCTTGTGTGGGTACCCAAATGCATGAGTATTGGCAGATTGACCCGTGTGAGTCCAAGCCAGATCATATCGAAACGTGCATATTGTTTGCTCTTGACCGATATTTGTGCTGAGTTTTCTGCTGATGTGCCTGAACCTGACGTTGCGCCACCGGCTGTCGAAGGATTCCTGTTTTCACGTGCACGCTTTTTACGTGATGATTTTACCCCCAATGGCTTCTTGATATTTTCAGATACTGTATGGGCAAGTCCTAATATACCTTCCAGGCACAAAGTCTGGGCTGTGGAATTTTTTAAGAGCAGAGAATGAGAATTTTATGCTAAAGGCAATAGCTCGTTAGGATGCTCGATGCAAAGCATGACACGACTACCCTATGCCAGGCCGTTGATGCACGGGACGAGACGTGGCCTGCTGTGCTAATCAAGCGGTTTTCACTCAGTCCACGTGAAAATCACACGGACTGCATGGCAGTGTTCTACATCCGGCCATGTGTTTCCGTTGTATAGAGCCTCTAGTCTAGACTGGGTTTACTGTGATGGACATATTTTACATATAATGTTTCCGTCGTATAGAGCCTCTAGTCCTCTATACTGGGTTTACTGTGATGGACATATTACATATAACATTACGTTCAAAAAAAACATGTTACATATAACCAGAAGACAGCTACGCACGGCCTCGACCGGAATGTGTACACGTTCAGATACGGTCAAGTGTCAGCTTGTGGATCGCCTCGCAATCCTCTCGCGTGTTCAAGATGAGGCAGCCTTTGTACTGAACTGTACATGCTCGCGACACTGTCGACGTACGAGTTTGATGCAAGTCTTCACCACCTCCAAATTAACCTCTTGAAACAGGCCAACAGCATGACCTCATAATATCATCCTTTTGCCTCTCCAAATCAACTAACCGGTCTTGAGCACCAGCCACTTTCTGTGGTTCTAATTATTGTGCACTGCACAAAAAATTATAAATGCAAATGAAATGTCAGCAAAGAAATGAAGCGCTCAAAACATAAGGACAAAATCACTAGAAAGCTTCACAGTAACAGTATTACAAGGTTGTCATGTCATGGTGTTAACGAATTTTATAAACTATGCATGATCCTTTGATTTAATAATGAATAGCATGACCACAATGTTTGCTATCTTTCTTCGTGATGACATATAGGTGACAGTGCTGCACCTGATTCCTAAGCTCCAAAATCCGCTGCTCCTTTTCTAAACTTTCCCCTGTAGTTTACAACACCAAAGAGATAAAGAATATATGTTACATATATCTTATTTGAAGTTCTGTAAATCAAAGGGTACTTTTGAAGCACCATTATTTTTTTGAAACCAATTCAAACACCACTATTTAAACAAACAGAATGTGGAACTCACTTGCAAGTTGCAATGTCTCCTTTCTAAGCTCATCACGCACCTGAACATTAAGAAAGAGGGCCCAGTCAGCAAATACACAAGACTTCAGTAATTTCCTATATGGGTATGCCAGAGATGAGGCATTGAACAAAAATATATAAGCTTTCAAGGATTTCGTACACTATAGGAGAGACTGTAAAGAAGAAATAATGAACAAAAATAGTAGCAACGGAACTCTGACATCATTAACTAATCAATAAGGTTTCAAAACTATTTTCCATAACCAGTGTAGCGAGGATTGCCAATATAGATGAGGAGACACTCTTGGAACCTCAATAATAATTGGAACCACCAAACAAGAGAAAGCTAATTTCAAAGTTCAAAAATCAAAATCCAAAGGAAGCCAAAGGGTCCGCCTAGCAGAACTGGTTAGGTGGCCTCGGCGGCACTCCTCAGGTCCTGAGTTCAACTCCCTGTGGGAGCGAATTTCAGGCTGGGGTTAAAAAAATCCCCTCGTCTGTCCCACGGCCAAAGCACAGGTCAAAAGGCCCGGCCCGGTTCTCACAGGGCAACGGTGCCCCTGTGTTAGGGTGGGGCAGGGGTTCGGGGGTTTTCTCGGCCTGTGTGAGAAGGTCTTCTCTCTTACAGCAATGCCCGGGGTGGCTTACCCCCTGCAGGTCGAGTTTTTTTTTTAAAAAAACAAAGGAACTTCAATAATAATATTAGATAAGGAAACACTCTTAGGCTCCGTTTGTACTGTGGGAATTTCAAAGAATTCCAAAATCCAGAGGAATGCAATTCCTATGTTTTGCTGACATCAGGGGCCATTTGGATTGGAACAATGAATCTCACCGTTCCTCTGGAAAAATTCGCTTCCCTTCGCAAAACGCAGGAACAATCAATACTTTAATGAAATCCCTTTAGGATGGCATTATTATGTCAAGAATATCAGGCCTTCAACTCACAACTGGTTTAACCATAATAATAAAAAAGAATAGAAGGAACAATATGATAGCTGTGGCCATCATCAGAACTAAATTTAAGATGGAGACAGTTATTATAACATGCCCATGCTGATAGAAACACAGAGGGTTGCACAATGATAACTTAAACAAGAGCATAGCTCATTATCATCCAGAGTCTAGACAACAACAACAAGACAAAAGGGAAAAACACATATGCCTATCATAGTCAGTTGAATGAGCAATCTAGGAACAGTAATAGTATATGCAACTGTAGATGTTGGCATGCAACTCAAAATTGCAATGATGGTAAAATATTCCAGATTTTTAAAAAGAGAATACACATGAAAACAAGAACAAAGAATATACTTATACTTAAGAAAGCCATTTTATACCACATAAAGGATAATATAAGAACAACAGCTGCGCTCATGTAGTGTAACAATGAGTCCTCCAGGTGAGAGTGAAACTGGCCAGGGCTTGAACCCTTGGTAGCTCAGTCTCACCGGGGGGGAAAAAGGGCTCGCTGTCCGTCCCCTGTGGGCAAGACAGTGTTAGTCGCTGAATTGTCACTCTTGGTAGTAGAAGAATTCTTACTCTCATCGAGAGAGGATGACACTAGGAGTTGGGGCAATTTTTTTGTCTATTTCTCACACAAACTCACACAAATGCCATGCCAACCTGAGGGGTTGGGGTTACATATTTATAGGCTGCTAGCCAGCCAAGCATATGCCAAGATGCTAGTCTAAGATGCTAGTCTAAGATGCTAATATGCTGTCCTAGCTAAGATGCTGTCCTCTAGTCTAAGATGCTGTCATGTTCAAACAAGTCTACACTAGGCGCCATAGGGCCCGAGATGTGCGCAGGGCCCAGGAACGGCGCGGAGGTCCACCGCCTGCACCGCGCCCAGGCGTCCTGGCGGCCCTGCCAGCGCCCGTCACCCCGACCCCGGCGCTCCAGACGCTGCCAGCTTCCCAGGCGCAACCCCTGGCCCTACCGGCGCCACCACCAAGGGCTGGGGGCAAGCGCCTCTCCATGGAGGAGCAGGCAGAACGGCGTAAACTCGGGCTCTGCTACAACTACAATGAGCCCTACTCCCGCGGCCACAACAGAGTATGCCGACGCATCTTCTACATCGACGGGGTCGTGCTGGATGAGGAGGTACCCGAGGAGGAGGCGCCGGTCTACTCTCTACACGCCGTCGCCGGCGTCCCTGTCTGCGGCACCCTCCAGCTTGAGGTGTAGGTGGGCGCGGCCACGCTGCTCGCCCTTATCGACACGGGCTCCACCCACTGCTTCATCGGCGAAGCAGCCGCGCAGCGGGCTGGCCTGCCCGTCGAGCCTCGGCCTCGGCTCACGGCGACCGTGGCCAATGGCGAACGCATCTCTGTCCGGGCGTTTCGCGCCGCGCTGGCCGTGTCATCGACAACCGGCCGTTCATGATCGACTTGTACATCATGCCCCCGGCCGGATATGACTTAGTCTTTGGGCACCCAATGGTTTGCGCGACTTTGGGCGATATTATGCGGAATATGGCTGCGAGGGACCATGGCGTTCAAGATGGCGGATCAAAGAGTTCTGCTGGCGCAGCGTCGTCGCTCGCCAACACCACCGCGCCTCCACTCTACTTTCGGTGGCGAGCCCTCCGGAGGAGCGCTCGCGCGGCGTTCGCCGACGTGTTCGCGGAGCCGCGGGGCCTCCCTCCAGGTCGCGTGGCGCGCGACACCGCATCCTCCTCAAGCCCGCACTTGAAGCGGTGGCGGTCTGACCCTACGGTATCCGGCCGCCCACAAGACGGAGCTGGAGCAGCAGTGCGCGACCATGATCGCGAACGGCATCGTCCGGCGCAGCGACTCCGCTTTCTCCTCGCCGGTCCTCCTCGTCAAGAAGCCGGACGAGTCCTGGCGATTCTGCGTCGACTACCGCGCACTCAATGCGGTCACGGTGAAGGACGCGTTCCCTATCCCTCGTCGTCGACGCGAGCTCTTGGATGAGCTCCATGGCGCCAAGTACTTCACCAAGCTCGACTTGCGCTCGGGGTACCACCAAGTGCGCGCATGAGGCCGGAGGACGTACACAAGACGGCGTTCCCGCACACACGACGGCCTATATGAGTTCCCGGTGATGCCGTTCGCCTCTGCGCAATGCCCCCAACAACATTTCAGAGCCCTCATGAACGACGTCTTGAGGCCGTTCCTCCGCCGGTTTGTCCTTGTTTTCTTTGATGACATTTTGATCTACAAAGAAGTCTGGGCCGACCACCTCGACACCTCCGCTGTCCTCGGCCGAGCTTCACAAGACACCCTCTTCGTCAACGCTCCAAGTGTGCTTTCGGGTCGCCTGCTCAACTACCTCGGCCACACGATCTCGGCGGCGGGGGTGGCCATGGACTCCTCCAAGGTACAGGCCATTCACGATTGGCGGTACCTCGCTCCGCACAGGCGGTCTTGCGGCTTCCTTGGGCTTGGGGCTACTACCGCAAGTTCATCCACAACCACGGCTCCATCG